TTTAATTTTTTTGTTGTTTAAGATGGAGTCTCGCTCTATTGCCCAGGTTGGAGTGTAGCGGCGCGATCTTGGCTTACTGCTGCAACCTCCACCTCCGAGGTTCAAGCAATTCTCCTGCCTCAGCCTCCCGAGTAGCTGGGACTATAGGCACATGCCACCATGTCCAGCTAATTTTTTTTGTATTTTAGTAGAGATGAAGTTTCACCGTGTTGCCCAGGCTGGTTGCGAACTCCTGAGCTCAGGCAATCCGCCTACCTCAGCCTCCCAAAGTGCCGGGACACTGCGCCTGGCCCACACAATATGTATTTCAGAGGCCTGGCTATGTTGATTATACCACTTAGACCTACTCTTGCTCAGTTTAGAAACTGGTTTCTGTTGTCACAATAATAGTGAATTCCAGGGAGGAAAGTCTCAGAGAGACCCTAGGTGCTATGAATGGCTAAGGTTCGTGGAAACCTGGGGGTTCCAGCACTATTGTTATGGTAGGTTTTCCCCTTGGGTCTGCCTGGGATTTTGTCTTTGACTCAAATAGGGACTTGTTTTTGCAAAGATGTGGGATCCGCATAGACTGGGATCCGTATAGACCGGGATCCGCAAAAGAGTTTGGAGAGAAACTTTCTATGCAGCTAGGAACTCTTGCATCCTTTCCAGACTCTATCCCCAGAACACAGGAGGAGTTTTACTTGCTCTTAAAGCTACTACTTTTAAAAATCAGATTCAACATACCCAGTCAATTTGTGTGTTCTCTACAGTTTATATTTTACAGTTACACAGCTATTTTTCCAACAGCGTCTCACAATATCTCTATTACAATGCAGGACAGGTGGTATTGTCCCCATTTTTATGGGTGAAGAAACTGGGGCCTGTGCCTGGTCTTTCTTATAGGCAGATCTCTGGTGCTTAAGTCTTGGACTTCCTCCATTTTCTTAGGTCCTGCCCTGTTAAAAGAGTGCTAGGCAGGGCCCGAGAATGTTGCTTTCCTTCTGGCAATTAGGCAGGCCCTGGTGACTCTAGCTGAGAGCCAAGAAAAGGGCTGCATTTTTTTCTGCTCTGGAGAGTCTTTTGCAGGGCCCAGAGAATTTGATGTTTTTTTTTTTTGGGATGTATATACCCATCTGTCTCTTTTTAGTTAGTTAAAATATTTGATTCTAAGAATGATTTAGTTAAAATGCTTATGGCTTTAGCATGGATACAGTAAACACTATGAAAAGCCCGATCCTGCAGTAAAGGCAGGTGCTCTGCAAGGAATATCTCTCATTGGGCCATGGAGAGGCCATTCCTGTCACCCTCTGGCTCTTCAATACCTGTACACCAGCCATGCTAAGTCACTTTCTCAGTAAAGATCTTTGACTGCCTGTGCTACTCTGGGGCTTGTGTTTCTGAAGCTGGCCTGATACCATCTAAGGATGCTTGGAATCATCCTTAGACTCTAGAAAACAACAGTGTTTTCTGTAGAATGTGTATGAGGGACCTCAGGTGGAGTCTGGAGTTGTGGCTGCCAGTGTTGGAGGTATTGAGGGCCTCTAATCGGGAACAGTGGTTTGGTTCAGTGTAGCTAGGACAGGGCCTGGGAGGATAGGCATCTAGGCAGTATGCAGAGTGCAGGCTGGCTTCTCAATCAACCTCTGATGGAGTGGCAGGCCAGAACCCTGCCTCCCCGCCCCCAGCTAGTTGCTGCTGCCTCCAAGGCTATAAATGGCCTGGCCATCTTGGTAGCTATGTTAATTTTAGCTGAGGGTGGCTCCCGGAACTGGGCTAGGGCCAAGAGCAGGTAGGTGGGGCTTGGCTAAAGCTAATACTGGGGACTGGGGAGAGGGACACACTAAGCCTGGGGTAACCAGGATATCACCTGCTCCCAGGCCTCAGCTTTGACAATCACCCTTAGCTAGGTTAATTGATTCAGCAAACTTTGAACAATGCCAGCTCATGTGGTATTTATTCAACAAGTATTAATATTTGAGTGCCTTCTCTTGGTCTGGTATGTTCCTGTGGGGATTTAAGGATGAACAAAACAATCATGTTCCTTCCCTCATGGAAGTTACAGTTGGTGAGACAGACATAAACACATAAATAAATATATTATCTTGTGGAAAGTGGCGTGGAAGAAAACATAAACAGGGTGCTATCATGGAGAATGAGAGGGGAACAGAGATCTAGTTAAAGCCCGAACCTAATTATAGGACAGATTAATACAGTTACATCAATGATGAGAACAACTAAATTTTTTAGAGCTTATTATATGACAGGCACTATTTAAACATTTTATTTTATTAAATTCTTATTACTATCCTGTGTTATATTGTCTCCATTTTATCGGTGATAAAATTAAATCATAGAGAGGTTAAATAACTTGCCCATGGTTACACAGATAATAAGGATGCCAGAGTTTGAATCTAGGCAGTCTGATTCTTCTCTCTACCTCTACTTTAGCCACTCTCTCAAAACTTCGTGATAAATACTGTAATAGAGGTATTGTATATGCATGCAGAAAGCTGTGGGAAGCCCAGAGGAGTAAGTGACTAACCCTGCCTGGGAGAGCTGGGGGAGGGTTTACTGTTTCTTTGTAATTTTTCTCAGATCTTAAGATGAAAAGTGGCTGCCTAATTCAAAGGTTAAGAGATAGAAACATCAGTTAGTTCAACCCACTTATTTTTATATATGAGGAAAGTGGCATACAGAGAGGCATTAGAGGTTTCATGGTGGGTTATTGGTAGAACTAAACTAGGACATTTGAGTCAGGGACCTTAACTTAATCAGTTTTTCAATTTATTTATTTATTTATTTTTTTTTTGAGATGGAGTTTCACTCATGTTACCCAGGCTGGAGTGCAATGGCGCGATCTCGGCTCACCGCAACCTCCGCCTCCTGGGTTCAGGCAATTCTCCTGCCTTCCTGCCTCAGCCTCCTGAGTAGCTGGGATTACAGGCACATGCCACCATGCCCAGCTAATGTTTTGTATTTTTAGTAGAGACGGGGTTTCACCATGTTGACCAGGATGGTCTCGATCTCTTGACC